GGAAGCCAAGCTCGGCGACGGCAAACGTGGCGGCGGTCGATACGGCGGGTAGGATCCACGTCGGATCGGGCGACGTCAGATCGAGCGCCCAGAACGGTCCGCCGTGCGCAAAGGTCTCGGAACCGGACGTGGCGAGTCGCGAGAGCGCAAGGTAGAAGGAGAACATGAGCGGCAGCTGCACCGCCAGCGGGATGAGCGAGCCGAGCGGGTTGGCGTTGTTGTCGCGCAAGAGCTTCTGCGTGTCCATGACCGCCTTTTGCATCTGCATCTGGTCGCCCGCCGCCTTGAAGTGCTTGATGTCGTCCATGTTGCGCTTCATCTGCGGCTGGATGTTGCCGAGCCGAATGGCGTTCTTCTGGCCACCGACGTTGACGGGCGCGATGAGCACACGCAGTGCCACCGTGGTCACCATGATCGTACCCCACCAGGGCAGACCGGTGGTGGTGCCGACAATGTCGAGCATGTTGGTGAGGAAGCCGGGCGGAGAGAACCAGTTGGTCAGTCCGAGCTCGCTCAGCTCGCCCGCCTTGACGCCCATCGCACCACCGAGCGACTCGGTGGCCGTCGAGAGCGCAGTGGTGTCGATCTGGCTCAGCTGCTCCTGCACGTCGTGCGCCAGCTCCGACGCCTTTTCCTTGAGCGAGGCAGCCGCGTCCGAGGCGCCGTCCTGCGCAGACTGCACGCCGTCCGCGACGGAGGCGCTGGCATCGTGCAAGGATTGTTCGGTAGCCTGCTTGGCTTCGCTAGCGGCTTCCACGGCCTGATCCTTCTTCTGCTCGGCTTCGGAAACGAATGGTGTCGTCTCAGCCTGTTGTGTAGATGACTTGGAGAACGGCCACAGCGAGAGGTTTCGATGTGCGATTGGAGCCGCAAACGGCGCTGCGCCGACGGCGGCGAGACGGGTGCCGGCTGCCAGGGCGATGCTCGAGCGCGACGATGCTGCAGATGAGTAGAGCGAGGAGCGCGATGGCGATGCTGCGTCCGAGAAGCTCCTCGGCGCGGAAGCGTAGCGAGACGAGCTCGGCACGATCGACGAGGCGGGGCGGGGACGCAGTGCCAGCAGCGGCGAGCTGCGCAGCTGAGCCCGCTGGGCGAGCGATGCGGCGCGAGAAGCCATGATGTCTATGCTTCGGAGGATTGCCGACGCTGGCGGGTTCGATTCGATGTGATGCGATGCGATGCGAGGCTGAGGTGGATAGGTGTCGGAAGCTCCGCAAGAGGGTCACTCGTCTGACCGTCATGTCAATTGCAAGAAGAACCGAAACGCATAGCCTCGACAAAAATCGGCCGCCGCCAGATTATGTAAGCGCAAGGCCAAAGCCTAACATCGCAAAATCTGACGCACGCGCAAAAGCATCCGTCGGTCGAGCCGAAACAGCGAGGGGCCCAAAATGACGCACGCACGGACAACGGCGTCGGGAGCGTGTGTTGGTCGATGTCACGCCTTGCTTGAGGCGTCGAGCCGAGTTGCAGACACGCAAATCACGCTCGCTCCGCTCCGCCCGCCACGAGGGTGCGTCAGCCAGCATCAGTCGGTCGGCACCTCCGCAAGACTCCTTCCACCGGCGGACCGGCGTATCGTCTCGCATCTCCACATCCCTATCACCGCATCACATTCACATCGGCAGGGCCCCTCCCTCTCAGCCCATCACCCCGACGTTCAACGCTCGGCGCTGGAGTTGGCATCTCGACGCGGTTCGATCCACCTCTATATACCCTCGCCGGACTCAGCACGCGCTCAGCTGCGCAAACTTGCCTGCAAACCACAAACGCCCTCGCCATGCTCACGCCGACTCGTCCCTGCGACTGATCTCACTATCTTGAACTGCGATAGTCACCAACTCGCCTCCACGCAATCCATCCATCACCGGCATATACCGACCCAGCAGCCACCACCACCACCATGACAACACGCAGCACCAAGAGCAACCGCAGCGGCTATGCGCCTCCTGCTTCCATGACCGACGGAGACGTCTACGTTTTCCTTCTTCAGGTCGCCTACCATGCGCATCTCACACAAGCTCGTAGGGAAGCCAAGGCAAAGGCTCGCGACAGCCTCGCGGCAAATGCAGCCGCCTCTGCATCGCCAGCCACGACAAAGAAGGCCGCCGAGCCCAGCTCCAAAGGCGACAGCTGGATGGGCTTTGCCGGCCTCGCAGACATGATCCGCGACGTCGGTGGCTCCTCCAAATCAGCACGCTTTCCGGAAAAGCTCATCAAAAGGCTCAACGACCGCCTCGAACTCATCGCCATGGGCCGCGATGCCAATTTCAAAGATCAGAGCCTCAGGCAGACCATCGGCATCTTTTACGGCACCTTCAAGGAAGCCTCGTTCCAAAGGCAGATGAAGGAGAACCGAAAGATCGAAGAGCTCATCCTCATCTTTGTCACCACGGCACAGGCCAGCCTCAAGAAGCGCTCGGCCGGCGACGAGTGGAAGCAGGAGCTCAACAACCAGGTCGGCCACTTTGTCACCATCATCCGCGAGTGTCTCAAGACCGTCAGCGGCGTGCCCCGCGAGCTCACAGACCGCCTCGAGGGCTACTCGTCCAAGCTCGCTCCCACATCAGCTGCTTCCGCCAGTACGTCCGCTAGCGTCACCGCAGGCTCCAACGGATACTCGGCCGCAAAGGAGTACATGAGCGCAGGCTCAGCCAGCAACAGCCGCCGGGCCAGCTCCGCGAGCGCCCTCCCAACAGCGTCCAATCCACTCGCCGAGTCTAGCATGGTCCGCACCGTCGGAACCCTCTTTTCCGTCGATCTCAACCAGCTCAGCCAGGACGTCGAATTCGTCAAGAAGAGCTGCACCGAGCAGGCGGCCATGACTGATCTGAAGCGATGCGTCAAAAACGTAAACCTCCAACAACCCTGGCCAGGGCGTCCAGACGACTTTGACTCGGAAGAGGCCTATCAGCGCTGGAGAGCGCAGGAGCTCGCGTCGCTCTCGCAGACCATGATGGAGATGTGCCAGAACAACCCCGAACTCCTCAAGAGCACCTCGAATGACGTGCCGGGTCTATCGCCCGCGCGGCCCAACCCGCCGCGGCCAGAATCGTACAACAGCGCGCAGGGCAGCAGCTCCCCGGCCACCGAAGGTCCCACCGCCACGCCCGATGCCGAGTTCGCCGCTCTCACAGTCGAAGGCAACGAAGACGACTCGTTCGTCTACATCCCGCCCGATCCTCGTGCCTACTACCACCGAGCACTCGAAATTTGCATCGACTACGATCTCGAGATGATCAAGCACCAGCCCGAGGAGGAAGAGGTCTCGCTCAGCATCTTGTCCAAGAGCCACGCCGACCTGCTCACAGAGTGCGCGCTCCGCTGGCGTCTGCCGGCATCCTTCCTCGGCGTCTCCAACCTGCAAGTCATAAAGGACAAGTACGACAACGGCGAGGTGCCACTGGACTGCGTGTCCGAAGCACTCACCACCGTGATGCGCTTGCTGTCCGAGTACGACTTCGCCCACTGGATGCGTCTGGATCAGACGTCGCTCGTCAGGCTCTACACCGCGCTCTTCGAGTCGTTCATCCGCTTCCTCTACGAGACCTTCCAGGACATCCACAACGTCGAGACCGAGGAGATCCAGCCCTACCTCACCATGCTGCAGGACCTGCATTCTTCCGGCTTTGTTCGCAGAGACAAGCGTCTTGACGCCGAGCCCGTAGCCATCGAGTCGCACCTCGAAGAGCTCAAAGACGCCATTCGCATCATGGCGATCCACGAGTACACGGCCAAGACCACCGAGCTCTTCTCTCAAGTCGTGACCAACGAGGTGGTGCCGCTCGTCCAGCTGCTCGACTGGCTCGAGAAGGGCGCGAAGCGCCTCGACAAGCGATACCCCGAGCCTGTGCTCGGGTCCGTTGATCCGGTCTCACTGCTTCTCGAAAAGCAGGTGCCACTCTTCCTCGACGATCTCGAGTCGATGAAGCAGCAGGTGGTCGACCACGCCACGCGCGAGCACGAGCCTCTGGCGTTCGAGGACATCTTCACGCTCTACAATCGCGTCAAGGCGCTGCTCCGCATGTATCAGGCTTTCTGCTCCGACGCCGAGCTCAGCTTCAGCATCACCGACTGGTTCGAGCCGCACATCCGGCACTGGCTCATCAACTCGGAGAAGAAGACCGCCGAATGGGTGCACAACGCCATTGCCAACGACAGCTTCACGCCCATCGAGAGCCAAGGGGCAGTGCACAGCAGCAGTATCGACGATCTCTTTGGCGCTCTGCAGCAGCCGGTCGACTTTATCTTGGGGCTCAAGTGGCCCCACGCTTACCAGAACGCACGCTTCCTCACGACGCTCGCCAAGATCGTCAGCCGCGCCGTCGAGCAGTACTGCAGCCGCGTGGAAGAGATGTTCATGGAGGAGATGTTCCCGCGTACGGCCGAGGACCAGGATATGGCGCAGAAACAGTCGGCGTGGATGGTCAAGGCCAAGCAGACGCTGGCGGGAGAGAAGAAGGTGGAGCCGTTTCACTTTCAGGCGACATCCTGCGTGCGTCTGAACAACATCGAGGCCGCGCGTGTGCTGCTCGACAAGCTCTACCAAAAGATCGACGCCGACAAGCAGGCCGAGATCGTCAAGCGGCATGCGCCCGAGGTGCCCGACAAGCGCAGCCGCGACCGCTTCATCTTTTCGATCAAGATCGTGCTGGGCGAGAACCTGCAGCCGATCCGCGACTCGAGCAGCAATCCTCGCATCGACTCGTTCGTCACCTTGAGCGACGAGCGCGGACAGAAGATCGCCAAAACACGCACGATCTACGAGACGTCCGAGCCGCGGTGGGACGAGGTGTTTGACGTGCACGTGGAGCAGCCCATGTGGCTGGCTGCCACCGTGTGGGATCGCAAGCTTGTCGGCGATCACAACCTGTGCGGACGCGCGTATCTGCGGCTCGATCCGCGTTACTTTGGTGATTTCCTCTCGCACGAGCTGTGGATGGACCTCGACACGCAGGGCCGTCTGCTGATGCGCGTGAGCATGGAAGGCGAGCGCGACGACATCCTGTACCACTTTGGCCGTGCCTTCCGCTCGCTCAAGCGCGCCGAGAGCGACATGGTGCGCATCATCGTCGACAAGATGTCGGTGTTCATTCGACAGTGCCTGTCGCGCTCGCTGCTCAAGACGCTGGTCAAGACGAGCGGCATTAATCTCGACAAGGCGATTGGCAACGTCAAGGCGCTGTACGCGTCTGCGCTGGCCAGCACCAACGCCAACGCCTCGATGATCCCGCCAGTGGAGGCCGAGGCGAGGCCCAAGAACCGGCCTGCGCAGCTGACGGACCACGAGATCGAGGCAGCCATCACGCCGCTGCTCGACTATCTGGACGAGTGTCTGGCGACGCTCAAGGGCAGTCTGTCCGAGGACGAGGCGCTGCTGGTGCTGACCAAGGTGTGGAAGGAGGTGCTCAACATCATCGAGTCGATCCTCGTGCCGCCGCTGTCCGATGCGCCATCGAGCATGTCGCAGCTTTCGGACAAGGAGGTGGACATTGTGTTCAAGTGGCTCGGCTTCCTCAAGAACTACTTTAACGCGTACGACGCCGAGACGGGTGTGACGCACGGCGTGCCGCTGGACGTGCTGCAGGGCGTCAAGTACCGCGAGATCCTGTCGTATCTGCTGCTGCACGACCAGTCGACGGACGAGCTGATGATGGAGTGCGTGCGCGGCATGCAGGCCAAGATGCGCCGGGCGGGCACGCAGCGGCGCGCCAAGAACAAGTCGGTGCTCAACCAGCGCTCGCTCGGCACCATCAAGAAGCGCAAGCAGGAGAAGAAGGAGGACGACTCGGAGGCGGCCGCCAACGGCTCGCTCGACATGGCGATGAAGCTGCTGCGCATGCGCCCGGGCACGGGCGACTTTTTGCAGCAGCAGATGGCCACGATGCACACGCTCCAGCTCGCGGTCGGCGGCAGTCCGGCGCGCAGCTCGGTCGCGGGCAGTGCGCCCGGAACGCCCGGAAGCGGCGGCATGCGGCAGGGGATGGGGCCGAGGAGGGAGAGCAGGTTGCCGCCCATGCCGCAGGCGGGCTTGGCGAGCGCGGCGCCAATCACGTCCAACGGCGGTGCGCCCAAGCAGGGCTACCAGCTCCGGGACGATGCGCCGCCCGGAACCGCAGCGGCAGCGGTGCCCGCCGGTCCGCGTTCGCCGGGGGGCGAGCAGAGGAACTCGGCGTCGTTCTATGGGACCCAGGTGCCCGACACACCGACACGGCGCAGCTCGAGACAGATGGGCGGGCGCAGCCCGTACACGGATCTGAAGAACAGCCGGTCGCCTGGCGCGCCCGACTCGGTGTACAACCGCATCTCGCGGCAGCTGTAATGCGAATCTTGATGGACAGCGACGAGTGATGGTGTGTCGTGTGATGAGATGATGTTTTCGGAAGCCGGAACTTGAGACGCCTCCACTTGGGCGTTGAACCCTGAACTTGCAAAAAAAAAAA